TTACGGGAACTTTTTTCATAGACATTCATATTTAACGGCACCGTTCACTTATACTCGGTATTAGATTTTCATGCTTAACGGTACGGGGAAAATAATAACATGAGTTTATGTTAGTTTAAACTGTAAATTTACAAAAAAAAAATTGTAATAGCACTTGGTAACGAACGTTCGATGAAAATGGAATTTGGGGCACCAAATAACCTTTGTACTTTCTTTGTTTTGGAAAAAACATGCACATTTTTTCAGTACGAAATAATAAAAATTGGAAAAGGGATTTAAAAGTCTCAAGAAATATCTAAAATTTTGAATCTGGTTTGAAACTGAATTTTACGCTCGAAGAAATGTATGCAAAGTCTTTCAATTTTTACAGAATTTCGTTTTCCATTTTGTTAATAATAAACTGACCTTTTTCACGCGTCTGTACTTGAGAAATACAGAATGAGAATCGATAAAGATGTTAAAATTTAAGGAAACGTCGAATGTTAGGCGATTCAGAGACTCATAATGTACTTAACGAGGAATGTTAATCGTGCCAAGCGGTTTAGAAAAATTGTTAGCTTTAATGTTTCCGCGGTTCGAGCAGCATTTGCATACGGATGGTTCGGGCAGCCGGCCGCTTCGTTAAAAGCGTGTCGAAAGGGACGAGGAAGTTCGATATTAGCGCGATCCTCGAGATCCTGATACCCGTGTATTTGTGAAAATTACATGCTTAGACGCTTTCGTCGGTTTGTTTATGAAGTCTGACTAGGCGCGACGCGTAGAAAAAACCGGGCAGACTCCAATCGACGCGCATCTCCGTCGATTTAATAAAAGTCGGGGTACAATCATACGACGCGTACAAAGTATACTGCAGTTTCGCGATCTTAATTATAGAAAACATCCTTGAATCGCGTAATGGCGGTCCGTGGGGCTCCATCATCGTTGCACGTTCGATTCGATCCGTCTCGAGGCGCATCGAACTGGTTTCGCTAACACGCGGATAAGTTAGACAACTACGTCATTAATGTTAGACTAGAGAGCACTTTCCGTGACGCACAAATAGTGCAAAACGAGCATGACTCGCTCCGCTGTGCGAGCGTCCTTGCCGCGATAGCCTCGACGAGTCCAGCAAAGAGTATACGAAACCATAGCTGCTTAAACTATCCTTTGCAACCCCCCACGGTAGGGGTAGCAGCCCCCTTTTTTGCTAAAATCTCCCGGTGTTTCGAAATTTACACGTACAAAAGAATGGAACGAATGCGTGGGCGTTTTCAAGGTTACTTCAAGGTCATCTTGTTTATTTTGTGGGAAACTTACATTTTTTATTTGGGAATCGTATTCTGCATAAAAGAATGCAGAAGTTTTGTTGGAAATATTTTTCTGTAAGTTTGATACTTTCGAAGATATTTGGAGAAACATCTTTTCAAAATGGCGATACCGCGTGTTTCGTTTGTCTGTTAGACTCGGTGTCTTCGAGTAGCGTTTTTCTCAATGTAAGTACTGTTGTGGCATAATTTATTCCCGAAAGATCGAATTCTTTAAATATTCAAGGGTTGGTAGATTCACGACACTGTACTTTCAGCTTCTCCAAAACGGGGACAACGTATCTCCCTTCGATCGACAAAATTTTACTAGAATTTCACACCATTGCGACACGAAGGTACCCCCGGAACGGTTTTCCACTGAAAGTACGGGACAGACACATAAAGTGGCTCGTATTACCGGATCGTATACATTTTAGAACTGTTACTCGAGCCTTATCTTCGTATCGTTCACGAAATTCCACATCCTGAAACGAGCGCGAGATTTAATCTACGGGAATAGAGATCACTGGGTTTCCGGGGCAAAAATGTTATTGCCCACGGTAGAAACTGAACCTTCGAAGGTTCCTGCTGAGAACAGTTACCGTGAAAATCATTTCTGGCCGCGGATTAAATTCTACATATCACATATGTTGAGTTGCGAGCCTGTACTCTTGTGAAATCCAGCTTTATTTGGTTCGAACGAACTATTTTTCAATATGGAAGAGAAACAGTTTTGTATCGGGTATCGAATACAGTCTTCTTTCGCTAATGTTCGCTTGTAGTCCACGGGAGGTACTTGTTGATCGAGAAATTAGAGGCAAAAATGAAAAACTTAAAAAAGAAAATAAGTGTTACTGTAAAAAAAAATACAGTTCTCATAGAGTTAGGATTTCGAGGGTATGTGTGATGACCAAAAATGATTGTAATTGACCCCCGCAATTAAAAATAATTTTTTTAGAACGATTTGAAATTTTTTAATTTCGTCGAAAAATTTGACACTTTCTCGAATTTTTTTCTCGAAAGTGCGTAGGATTTCGGGGGTAAGTCTATTCACCAAAAATGATTGTAATTAACCCTTGAAACTGAAAATAATTTTTTTAGAACGATTTGAAATTTTTTTTTTTCACCGAAAAAAGGCACCTATTCGAATTTTTTTCTCGTAACTGGTTAGGATTTCGAGGGTAGATCTATTCACCAAAAATGATTGTAATCGACCCCTGCAGCCAAAAATAATTTTTCCAGAACGATCTGAAATTTTTTATTCTCGTCGAAAAATTTTAGCAACTACACGCATTTTTTCCTCGAAAGTGGGTGGAATTTCGAGGGTATGTCTGATCACCAAAAATGCTTGAAATCGACCACCGGAACCAGCTATAATTTTTTCAAAATGATTTGAAATTTTTCAATTTCGCTGAAGATGTTAAAAACAAACGAAAGAAAATCGCGCCAAATTCTGACGAAAATAAGCATTCAAATAATATAATTCCATAGCTCTCCCGATGGAATGTTGTTCGTTGGAGATGATCGGGGTCCGATTATGGTAATCCCAGCGTGGATGCTTAATGCGACAATCTCGTCGAGTACTTTTTCGAAAAACAAACAAAAGGGCATTTCCTGAAGGAGCGCCCGTTGTAAGGAAGCAAAAGCTCCGGGCCCCGCGCCAACCACTCGAAAGATGCACCCTCCTTCTTGGTCTTCTTCTTCTGCGTTTGCTTCCGCCTCTTCTTGTTCGGGGACGCGTCGCGGCAACTCGGATAACCGCGTAACATCGCGGCAACAAGGAAGTCGCCGTTGTTAGTCTCTGGGAATTACCGTTTTCAGATAAGGTCCATTCGATGGGCGAACGCGTAGTCGTTCGCCGAGCGTGGAATGTAGATTGAGTTGTGCGAACGGGGCATTAACTTCCGATAATCGCGGAAACCTTAACGGAACGGATAACGATCGTGGTAAAAGCCGGCATGGCAGACGGTAATTCGAATTCTGAATTCGATTAATAGACCAACAAGCGAACTGGGACCGCCATCTCGCCCGCCGTTTTCATTGTTTACGAGCCGAAATTACGCCGTTTACAACTCTACGCAGAATTTCTTGATAATTGAAAACTAGTTGGCGGAGGCATCGTACAGTTTTACAATGGCTACGTGCTCGTTCCATATTTTTTCTCGATCGCTTCCGGCTACCGTAGAGACTCTCGAACTAATATGGAGACAAAGGTGGAGCACTGTTCTTTATATAGTTTTATTTCTTTTTCCTATTTTTCTATACAAAAGATTAAATCTTGACGCTAGTATAAGAAATCACTCTTGAATCTACCTTGTGAGTAGCATTAAAGGCGACAGGCGTTTCCTTAATGTTAAGATTACGCGAACTCTGTGTCGAGACATTAGTCTAACTTGTATTTCTCGTCGTAAGATTGCCGTTTGTGAGTTTGGGTTTGTTGTACCCCCTTGTTTAAATATTTATATTTGTTTTTGAAGTATGAAGATTATTTATTTAATTAGGATTTAACATAATTGATATAATTTATCACATATGAGTTCTTTTGACGTCAAATCAAATATCCATCTGGTCTACGCTTCGTCAAACTCATAATTTTACACAGAAATCCGTGGATGGTGGTCCAACACTTTTGGGACCAACTTGTAGATTCTGATTTAGCGTTAATTGCAAAACAATTGTGCACGTGTCTCGTGTTCGACGGTGAAACCGAATAAAAGTATTCCGTTGTTGTACACGGCTACCGAAAGCAACGTGCGAATACTTCTAAGCATTCGACTGTAAACAAACTACAAATTAATTAAGTACTCGTCGCTATTGTCTATTACTGATTCGTACGTATTCTGGTATCGACTTGCATGAAAAATAGCAGGTGACAGACGTTAGCTTCCGCGTAAAACAGTCGGTCAATAATCGCGATACTTTGTATTAAGAGCGGGACACTGAATTTTTAATCATTTTCGATTCGTGAACCGAACGGTACTTCGAACACTTTCGACTGGAATCACAACGCAATAACTGTATTAGTCCAATTTGTTCTTAGTCGCCATTACTGCGTCACGTTCAAGTTAAAATTCGCATAATGTGTCTAAATTGAATTTTCCAAAATGATTCTCAGTTAACTACTATTATGGGATCAAATTTAATTTTTGTTGTTATAAATTAATTTTACTCTTTCTCGAAGATCACCTGGGCATAAATTCGAAAGATAGAACGAATAACAATAATAATATTGTGTTCAACGTATGCCTATCAAATATAACTCTAAATAGTAATTATATAAATAACAAAATCAAAAACAAATATGGTTGCTACTTCGTGCATCCATTAGGAAAGAAAACAATGCATTCTATGATAACAACAAGACGTAGAAAAATTTTATAAAAATGAAACGAACAGTGATTATAAGAGAAAATATACTCTCAATTAAACTCACTTTTATCTATCAACACAAGACGAGCCTTCTTACCATAAAATTTCCAATAAAATACTAACAATTAAACACTCGATAGAGGAGTCTGTCAACCATCTTGAAAGACTGTATAAACGACGAGAAATACAATTTAAAAAAAACCTCGACATCCCAAAAGTGTCATACCACGAATCGATTTCAAACCATAAAATTAAAAATTGAATTACATTTCACTCTGTCTCTACAATAAAAAACGGCACATAATCTTGAAAGACAAATTAAAATTGCGTAAATTTGGCGCTACCCACCTCGTCAGTAGTCTCGAAAGCTCTGGGATCCACGGGGCCCGGACGTCACCAAGCGATCGATCGAATTAGATCGAGGATCCCGCCCGCAGGACACCAGCGCAGGTCACCAAACGCGACGACGGCGCGTTTCTTTCGTTATCGTACGACGAAACGTGGCGCGATTCGATCTCTCGTTCGCGGATACGATCGATGAATCGATTTTCCGTATCTGGATGGACACGCGGACGCGTTTTACGAGTTCACCGACTCTGTGAATCGCGGTATCAGAATGAAGGCTTTTCTTAAGGCCGTCTCGTACTTATGTCGCTGCCCCCACTATGGGGCCCCAACGCACGCCGCGGACTCTCCTCCAAGTTCTTGAGCGTTCGGGCCCCGAACCGCGGGCCCCTTCCCCCCCTCTCCCTCCCTCGAAAGAAGATAGAAAAGGAAATACGTGCCAGGAGTGCCAGGACAGACGACACACTTTCGTTCGTTCTTTCGACGATTCCCGTCACTCTTTCGACGGGTTCACTCTTGCCTACGCGACACTTTTCCTCCTTGAGGACGATCCACCCTGTCGATCTTTGACCCTACTTCTCGCGGAAGGTTGCAGACCAGTACTAGACGCAAAATTTATCCGGTAACTGACCTGGAAGAAATAGTTTCTCAAGGTGGAGACCACTGTGATCACTGAAAATGGAAGCAATTTTCGAGAATTTTTTGAGGGGTTTAAAACTTTTTCTAATGAATGTTTAATGCATTCGAAAGAACATTTCTTGGTGTAGTTCTTGTAAAAATTTTGAATGAAAGTATTAATTATTATGGAATAGGGATCGAAGTGGAAGATCAAAAATTGGTTGCAAAATGGTGGACGTGTAATTTTTCAGTGGAAATTTTGAAACAAAAAATCATGGAATTTTTTAAAACTATGAGACAGTAGAACTTTGAAGAAAGGATCTCGAGAATCTGTGACAAAAATTTCGTAGAAGCAACTGAAGAGAAAAGAACATTGAGAATCACCATATAAAATTGTCAGTAATTCGTGTGAAAATTGACTGAAGTAAACTTGATTTGTTCGATAAAGTTTGCAATAATCTAAACAGCAAGATGTTACTATCGGATTTATTCCCTAATTAGTTATTAAAACGAGAACTCATACATATCGTCTGGCTGATAACAGAAAATTTAGAAACTAAAATTACTGAAAACTGAAATTAAATTTTCACGATGTAAGATTTGAAATACAGGCGCCGAGAGGATGGGAATCCTCCCAATGTTTCGACTGGTCAATGACTGCCGTAGAAACGGATCGTGTTGCTTTTTTTTCAACATGATCCAGACATCGAACAATCAACAACCGTTGCACATAGAAATTAAGCGTCAGTCACACCGAAAATCACGTAAATCTAACAACACAACGTTTTTCCCTCATGCATTCTTATCGTTAGAGATATTTTAATCCTTATTTACTCTCACGATATTTTATTTTATTGTATTGTATACATTGCATTAACAGTAAAATAATTGTATAAGAATAAGTATGAAGAACCACGGTGGAAAAGTTGTTACCTGACCCACGAAAAAAGGCAGAAATAGAACGGAAATTATGATTATTTGTACAAATAAATATTCCATACACGATATGGTATAGTTTTTGTCGTCGAATCACGACTGATACTATGTTCGATCGAACGGTATCGTTCATCTTTTCTTGTTTTCAGTCGTCCAGGCGACAAACAAACAAAAACACTCGGTGACTGTGAAAGAATTCCGTTCATCTTAAACGGATAACTGTTAACACGGCGAACAATTAGATCGTTGAATCCGCGCCGCGTGAAATGCTCGGTATTCTGTTAACGTCGGATCGTCGTTATTCCTCGTAGATCATTCTCGTAATATAAACGCATATATAAATCCATCGTGTTCGCGGTGCAGAGGCTCGCGCGTCCCGGTGGCTGGTTTCTCCGTTGTTACGTACGGAGATTTCTCCTTCCACGATACCTCGATCCCCGTGAATAACTGGAAACGATCGTAGACGAGGTCTCTGCCACCGTCGGACTCCAGATTTTCAACTATAAACCAAACCTGGTGTGCTTTGTACGATTCAAATCGCGCTTAATTTCGTTTGAAGTCTTCCAAAATTCAACGTTTTCTCCGATAATTCTTGTCAATTAACGAACGAAAGCCAAAGTCATCCGACGATTATTCCCGAAGTAAGGAACAAGCATACATGTATTTAGAAAGCGTTGCAGCTCGACATTGTTCCGTCTCGCTGAAACTCGGCTCATCGTTTTGCAGCGATACGGCTGCTCGCTGCAAATAGCCGTTTCACGCGAGTCGATATCCAATCTGACGTGACATACATGTTTCTTGTTGTTGGAAACCGCCGGCAGATTATACGGTGCGTAAGCGTTCTAGATAGTGTACGAATCCCGCGGAGAAAGTACAGCGGCTCGCGGTATCGATGGATCGTGCGTAACGCGATCGATCGTCGCCGAAAAATAGGCAAAAACCAAGCAGGCGGGTTTATCGTTGCATCTAATCGACGTTGAATCGAAAGCGAACGCGACCGACACGTGGAAAACGAGGCGGTTGCGACGCGGACGGGTCCAGTAAAACGGGAATCGACTCGAATAACCGCGTTGCTAAGAACCGATCGGACGTAAAGTGGCTTTCTGAGGATCGAGCTCGATGATCGATCGCGATGGATAGGGAGGAAACACGGTGTGAAGGGTCGAGGACGTCTGCAAGTGAAGGATCAGAGGTCTGCGTAGAGTTTTAGAATCTTGTACGAGCTATGATTATTTGTTGGATGTATAGAGTGTAGTGTACCTATTGTAGGGTAATAGAGAGGTATAGGTGATTGACGTTTGGGGATTTGATGTACTCGCCACTAGAGGGCGACGCTCTTGTCTCTCTCACAAGCGCTCGACCGACCTTGCATTGGTGCATATACGCTTCTGTAGTGAATCACTAGAATATTGCATGTCTGGACCATAGTGTGTACCTATGTAGAATCACAAAGAGTTTAAGAGGTATTTGTATGGATAATGTCTACGTGATCATAGCAAAACTGTCAGAGGCAGTCATATTAAAAGATTAGATATCATGGACGAATCTTTAGTGGAACCTTTAATGGAGTCTTTAGTGGCTTTCTGAGCTTCGAGCTCGATGATCGATCGCGATGGATAGGGAGGAAACACGGTGTGAAGGGTCGAGGACGTCTGCAAGTGAAGGATCAGAGGTCTGCGTAGAGTTTTAGAATCTTGTACGAGCTATGATTATTTGTTGGATGTATAGAGTGTAGTGTACCTATTGTAGAGTAATAGAGAGGTATAGGTGATTGACGTTTGGGGATTTGATGTACTCGCCACTAGAGGGCGACGCTCTTGTCTCTCTCACAAGCGCTCGACCGACCTTGCATTGGTGCATATACGCTTCTGTAGTGAATCACTAGAATATTGCATGTCTGGACCATAGTGTGTACCTATGTAGAATCACAAAGAGTTTAAGAGGTATTTGTATGGATAATGTCTACGTGATCATAGCAAAACTGTCAGAGGCAGTCATATTAAAAGATTAGATATCATGGACGAATCTTTAGTGGAACCTTTAGTGGAGTCTTTAGTGGCTTTCTGAGCTTCGAGCTCGATGATCGATCGCGATGGATAGGGAGGAAACACGGTGTGAAGGGTCGAGGACGTCTGCAAGTGAAGGATCAGAGGTCTGCGTAGAGTTTTAGAATCTTGTACGAGCTATGATTATTTGTTGGATGTATAGAGTGTAGTGTACCTATTGTAGAGTAATAGAGAGGTATAGGTGATTGACGTTTGGGGATTTGATGTACTCGCCACTAGAGGGCGACGCTCTTGTCTCTCTCACAAGCGCTCGACCGACCTTGCATTGGTGCATATACGCTTCTGTAGTGAATCACTAGAATATTGCATGTCTGGACCATAGTGTGTACCTATGTAGAATCACAAAGAGTTTAAGAGGTATTTGTATGGATAATGTCTACGTGATCATAGCAAAACTGTCAGAGGCAGTCATATTAAAAGATTAGATATCATGGACGAATCTTTAGTGGAACCTTTAGTGGAGTCTTTAGTGGCTTTCTGAGCTTCGAGCTCGATGATCGATCGCGATGGATAGGGAGGAAACACGGTGTGAAGGGTCGAGGACGTCTGCAAGTGAAGGATCAGAGGTCTGCGTAGAGTTTTAGAATCTTGTACGAGCTATGATTATTTGTTGGATGTATAGAGTGTAGTGTACCTATTGTAGAGTAATAGAGAGGTATAGGTGATTGACGTTTGGGGATTTGATGTACTCGCCACTAGAGGGCGACGCTCTTGTCTCTCTCACAAGCGCTCGACCGACCTTGCATTGGTGCATATACGTTTCTGTAGTGAATCACTAGAATATTGCATGTCTGGACCATAGTATGTACCTATTGCAGAATCACAAAGAGTTTAAGAAGTAGTTGTATGGATAATGTCTACATGACCATAGCAAAACTGTCAGAGTCATATTAAAAGATTAGATGTCATGGATGAATCTGTAGTGGAACCACAGCAGAGCAATGATGATTATCTGCTTAATTGTCACCAGGAATCGCTAGAATATTGAATATCTAGATCATAGTATACTTCTGTGTAGAATAAGAAAGAGTTTACAGCAAAAACTATATGCAGCCATTGAAGGAGATTTGGATGCCATGGACAGACATACCAAACCTGTAGTAAAACCACGGGAAAGCTACTAGGAAGTTGAATAACGTAGACTAGTAATTACTCACGTAACTTCCTAGTCAAAAAGATAGTTTCTATTAGTGAATTCGACAACGAAATCGATGAGTTCAATGAAAAACGCGCGAAGACGATAACTTTCGAGATTCCAACGTTCATCCGGGATCCAAGGTATTTGCAAAATGAGGATTGTTACTAATGGTTCGTTAAACTTTCATGAGGGTGGCAAAAGCAGAGGTGTATGCGTTCGAACACAGAGCACGCCGCTAATGATGATGATGATGAAGAATTGGTTGTAAATCGGTTGCATCGTGTATCCAGATGCGATTTCTTCGCTCTGAATATTAACGCTAGAAAATGGAAACTCCCGCGAAAAGATTGTTCACATTAACGTGTTGCCAACTATGGAAACAGAGTTATTAGT